GATACGGGCCTGTAAATGGTCATCGTGGTTGTACCAGACAGCAATGCAATGTTTTGATTTGCACACATTTTTTATTTTTAAAAATCTAATTGAGAGCATCCTAATCATGTGAAAAGTTCAATTTTTTTTGAATAGTTATATTCCTTCTATAAAGTGGGTACACTTTTTGGGACACCCTGTATTTGCAGTTCAATGCCAATGTGGAAATCAATATACAGGGAAATTCGATCTTGAATTTGTAAAATGATAACAAGAAAGGTAGCACCAAATTAGCTTGATGTATTCATGAATGGATTCTCAAAAGTATACAAAATATATATAATCTTATTCTGTAGCTTCGGGACAATGGCGATTCCTATTCGGTAGAATGGAATATATCTTTCAACGACTTCTATGACGCTTATGAAAGGAAATAGCTTGGATTCAAATATAGCACAAGTTGAGACATACTAATAAGGTATACTTTACAGTTATACAATGCTCAGAGTATCCATCATTACTTACAGAAGGCAAAGAACGACTCGCTGATATCGTTTTCTGCGAGCTTTTCGAATTGGGTCATGTTGGTTTCATGCTTCGATTTGCATTAATAGCCTACACATATGGATAATCGTTTATGAACATGTTGAAAACATATTCCAGCACCGAATGCATTACTCTATATTCATTCTTTCCTTATGCTATCTGATTTGTTTGACATATTTTCGTCACCTGGCTCGTCGAGACGCCATATTCATCGGGATTCAGTAAAAACACAACTCGGGTCACTGACTTGCTGGAACGAAATTCGGAACACAGGATATTGATCACCCGGGGTGATATTGTTCATCGGTAATATTACAATGCTCCAGGATCCAGGATTCCATCAACATTCGGCATCGATTCCGCTTGCAATGATTTAACACGTCGGTTTATATGAGCGTGGAAATCTTCATTGAAATACGGAGAAGTATTAGGAGTAGCTAGTTTTGAGAAGTGCTTCATCCATGCATCACGAATTTCAGACGGGTCTGATAAAATTGAGCCATGCTCATCCCGTATTGAGTTAATCTTTTGTGGTTTGACTCCCCGGCTTTTAGAGACAAGTTGCCAATAAAGTCGCTGGTCAACAATTGTATCATCCTGTAGTTTATCGAGTTCTATTTGTTCGAAATCACGTTGAGCCTGGAAAAAGGCCTTCTTAAAGCCTTATTAGCACCTTTGTAATTTACTAGAATGGTGAGAGACCACGGTTGGTATAGTCTGTCACGTGACTTAAGTTTTCGTATGTTGGCGTGTGGTGCATTTTCTTCTTCGCTTCAGGTATGCAAGTACGCTTTTAACATATTTTTAGACTATATATCTCTGTGAAATTTGTCCCGTGCCATCACTGTGTAAAGACGATTCGATTCACCAAATACTTCATTCACGCGTGTGCCGGTTAAAGAGAAATCCGCACTTTTATTATATCACTGTCATATTCCTCACTCTCTTATTGGTCCATGTTCTACACGTGACCAAAAAATAACTAGCGATATTCAACGGAAGTCACGTGACTTCCGGTGAATATCAAATGATATTCAACGGTCATGACTTATACATCCCCGGGGTTGACTTAGTTCAGTCTAATTTTCATTTTATATATCCCACAATAACCAGACGGTAAACAAAGGTTTCCAAATATTTCTGCAGAAGAAATTGATAGAATCCACGGGAATATTCATTCAGATAACACAATAAAGGCGACACAAAGATCAGTGAAGATCTTTCAAGATTGGATATCTAGCAAAGACGATGTGATTGATTTGGAAAACGTATCAAAATCGTAGTAGTTGTTATATTGTTAGAAGAAATATATATGTATTTCAGTGTTAACATATGACTTATAATTGTAGAATTATAGAAGATGTTATGACAGTGATATAATAAAACAAATATTTAATTCCATTTTCGGTGAATACCTGTGACACTTTCACAAGATGATATTCCACTAGCCCTTCGGTATTGAGGTATTCACCTCAATAGAATTAAATATTTGTATATTATGGCCCAGAATATCGTATGCGGGAGAATGAATCGGATTTCAAGAATAGTATATCCGCGATTTTGTTCATAAAGTTACAAATGATGATCAAAAACATATATTATCACCAGAAGTATAGTCTGTCACGTGAACATTTCTACGCTCGCTGTGGAATTTTGTGCGGTCGGATACCTTTGCAATCACATTCCTACGACAGCCACACGGCGAGTTTTTAAATTAATGTTGATTTAACGTTAATTCTTCTTTTTATTTTATCTACATCAGTACAATTTATAATTATTACCACCTTGCCGGGCCAGTTCTAGGGGTTTTAGTGCTAGTTTAGAAGGCGTTCATTTTACTTTGTCGACCTGAGCGATATGTGACGCCATAGTGGTGGTCAAGAATGCATTTCAGACGGTCGAGAATGCATTTAACGACCGGCAATTTTCCCCGGGATACTAGATATCGTTCAATGCGTAAGATTTTCTTCATTAACGGTGGTAATAATACTAATAACGTCATTTCTGCGGACAATATACTGAAATATTGGACCTTGAGCCTTCGGCCTTCGGCCCTCGGTCCAATATTTCACTATATTGCCCTTCGAAATGACGTTATTGTACTATTATTATATTGTAACACTATTATTTATCTTGTTTGTAGTGTAAGGATATAGTATCGAATAAAAAGTGCAAGTGAAATATAAATTGTTGTTGTATCAGTAACCTTTCACCTCAGTCACATTTCCTACGGCGACCGTGCGGTCTATCATTTCTGATGTTAGTTACATTTCTACGCTCGCCGTAGAATTTCTGCGGTCAGATATTTTTCCAGTCACATTTCTTCGGCAGCCGCACGGCGAGTTTTTGAATTTCTGTTGATAAACGTTAATTTTTCTTTTTATTTTATCTACATCAGTACAATTAAAAATATGAAATATAAGTTGCTGTGGTATCAGTGACCTTACATCAAACAGTATACGCATTGTGTTGTATTAACAGCAAATACAGTGCGTATCAAAAAACAGATTCACTGCTACCCACCTAATTACACAGACGTATCGTCGGTGTATCATGGCGGAACTTCCTCCGGGACTAGGTTTCGGTAAGATTTTTTCATTTCCCGATTTACACCTACTTATAAGTCACGTTGTGGATAATAATTTGGCTCAAAGTTAAGGACGATAGTCTAATTTGAGAATGTGTCGTTGGTTTTAGGTTTTATATGTTAACAAAGACACAATTCACGTATTTAGTCCCTCGCTTTTCTTACACTGACGAACGACCAATATCAGTGTAATATTGGCAATATTAATGCCGATCATACCCTATGTATGCACGCGCTGTTTACGGGTGTTTATGCGTTAATTACGAATGTGCAGATGTAAAATTACGCCCGTGCAGACGTTATCTACACTCGTGTACATGGTTTGCCAACCTACCCTAAGTATGCACGTGTTGTTTACGGGTGTGTAGGCGTTAATTACACCCGTGCAGACATAACATTACGCCCGTGCAGACGTAATTTACGCCCGTATAGAAGGGCAAAGGTATGATGGTTGGAACTTAATACCAATGAAATGGAAATTCATAAAAAGTTGATTGAGTTGTTGTTTCTTATACTCTTGAAAATGCAAAAAGATGTTTATTGCTCTTCTTGATAAACAATTATTTTTCGTATTGAATTACCTTTCAAATATGCTTTATTTAATGAAAATCGAGTCACTGTTGACTAATGATATTATTTTTTAAAGGTAAACAGTTAATTGCCAAGTATACGCGAAACGCGTTCTCTTCACTAATTTGAGAGAAAACGTTCTTTTTTCAAAAACTACTTATACCATGGCCTTTATTGCTAGAGTCCATTTTCAGAAGTAAGAAAGTGGGTTATTAAACAGGGAGGCCTTTTTAAAATTATTGGTTGGTACTATATGGTAAATTACATTTTGGATTATTCTTTTAGAAAAGTGCACAGCAGCAACACGACTGTACTACTGATAACAGGGGCGTTGCCAACGTTGTAGCCTGACAGTCGTCTCTAGGGTCACATCTACATAAAGGGACTTCCTAGAGGGCACAAGGGCCAACCAGTCCAACCAATCTATTTATCAAATGTTAAAAGTTTGATCATATTATATTCAAATTCTATAACTGTGAAATCATCTGCTTTATTCTATACCCAGTAGAGTTTTCGAAAAAAATGTTTCAAATTTTTTCCAAATTTTTTTCATTTTTTCAATTCTTTTTCATTTCTTTCACATTTTTTTCAAATCGGGGAGATATGCCCTGTGGCGGAAGATATGGAGGTTCTGGATATGGAAACCTCAAAATCAGGATACGGGTTATATCTTACCAACTTATCTCCCTAAAACTCTACTTGGCATAGGATTAATGGGCTTATTAGCCTTTTGCAGATTACTACTACGTCACATAGTGGTTCCAGTGACTGCGATGCCGCAGTGACTGCAATAGTTTGACGATTGCTTAGATGATTCTGTGATATTCTAACAACTTGAGTCATTTTGCTTTGATGTTATACCTATACTTGTCCAATGTCTATGTAGCATGGCTATGAATATGTCGGAGTAGGCTGCAGCGACGTCACCGTTGACATGGTAATTATAAGTTTCTACAGGGTGGTCCAAAAAATGGGACACTCGTATTTCAAAAATAAATAATAACTTTCTTGATGAAAACATGTCATATTATATACCAGTGGATGGGGAATTTACTTATCTTTAATTTGGTATATCATAAGTTCAAATTTATATGAAATATCAATCCAGGTGATTTTGTGAAATTCTATTGACTCGAGTCCTTTTTCTTTGATGTTATAGCTCTACTCGTCCAATATCTATGTAGCATGGTTATAAATATGTCGGAGTAGGCTGACACGACATCACCGTTGACATGGTAATTATAAGTTTCTAGTTCTTATGAAATATCACTCCAGGTGATTTTGTGAAGTTCTATTGACTCGAGTCCTTTTGCTTTGTTGTTATAGCTCTACTTGTCCAATGTCTATGTAGCATGGTTATAAATATGTCGGAGTAGGCTGACACGACATCACCGTTGACATGGTAACTTCTTAATTTTCGACCCTATATTTGGTAAAAATGAAAAGTACAATGCTAACTGGACATGTTGATAATCAAAATATAGTATCATGTAAAAGGTATTCGAACATGACTGTATTCACGCCTTCTATAAACTGTGAACAAAATCAGTATCTCATACTTGCATGAGTGGGTTTGGGGTAGATCATCCGGGAATGTATATCATATCTGAGGAGCGGACAGGATATATTGTATAGGATCCGCTCCAGGCCAAATGCGGCCAGATATAATATATATCCCGCTCCCGGGAATTATCAATATAATTGTTCTTTTTCGTGCAGTGTGATAGTGCATCTTGTGGGTCTTTTCAGACGAAACATTAAAAATAAATCTTAAAAGTAGAGAGAAATTCTGTAAAAACATTAATAATAAACACGAAAATGACATTAACTTGAGTGATAAAGAAGGAGCTACCAATCTAGGATTCGAAAACCAAATCGATAGTGAGAATTTTCCATCAACTGAAAACCCACTCAAGTATGAGATACACCAGTTATGTATGGTCGGTTATGGATAAAGGGTATATCCCCAGGGAAAATTATATATATCCCTCGGGATATTCCCTATATCCAAAACCTCCCAGTACATAACCCCCTAGAGCTAGTCACAAAAGCTTTTGGTCGTTCAGGGTACAGAAAATGTTCGTCCCAAGCCCTGCGAAATGTATTCGTCGATATAACACCTGCCGTTCGGTCTATATTTCTTAATAGAACTAAAAGAAGAACTCGAGATTTTCACAAAGAGAATTTTTGTAAATGAAACGAATATATTTTAATAACCAACAAGTTAAAAGAAAATATAGGAAACTGTCTAATGAAAGGTTTGAAACGGTTTTCGGGAAATATTAAATTTGTGAATAATATCTCCTCAACTATTTTAACATGATTGTGATATGAACAGTAATCATTGGGTCATTAACAAAAAATGAATTTTTTAAAGTTAGAATTCTGTAAGTTCATTACTTGCATACCTGTCAAGTAAAAAACCCCGGAGAAGTCGGGATTTTTTTAAGAAATAGCGGGGTGAAAATCGGGGTTTTGACTGAATTTTGAATATTTAATGGCGTAAATCAAGATTTTTTCTACTCGCATCTAGTCTATTGTATATACATACTTCTTTAATGTGGCTGATAAAGTGATAATAGTCACACTAAGTTAATATACCTCTTTCTTGCGGCAATGCACATCGCCCATAAGTTACATCTTTATACATTCCCAGAATGATAGGAAAAACTTGTAGGATTTCGAATCCATTACGTTGAGCAATTGCATTGAGAGCAGCATTCCTCATGATATCTTTAGCTATGTCCTGAAAATATATTGCGTTTATTGATTAACTTGATCGAAATTATCCAGGCTCAATGTGGACTGATGTAAAGATAGATACGGCGAGGTATGTGTACCAATATGAGAACAAACAGGTACATGTGTACATTGTGGCATGTCTTGGGAACCGTGAGACCCCATTGTACCCTAAATGAAATATGTATGCTCAGCGTTAGAAGGATGCAAGTGCACTTTCAGGGATTATGAGAAAAAAGGGAAAATAAACTTCAATCATGAAAAATCAAATAATATTGAAATTTAAAGCTAAAATTCCATGTTTAAAATATGCAATATGTCTATCAGTGGTGAATGTTTGATCATACTACTCGTAAGAATTATAAACAAAATAAATCATGTTAAATGCACTCACATCATTCTGGTATGTAAAAACAGAATCCTCCTGGATTGAAATGTGAAAACTTTTTGCTGTAACTTCCCTTGAAACGACATACATGTAGTTAAGTATAATCAAAATCAAAGTATCAAAGCACAATTGCAGACAATACCAATGTTGCACCTTTTTATAAACGAAGATTAGGCTTAGATATTTTAACATCAGAATTATAGAAAATGCAACATATATATTGTTTTGTGCAATAATTTCAATTTCGACAAAACCGCACTTACATCCTTCTGGCACCGAGCATACGTTTCATTTTGCCCTTGAAGTAATGCTTCAAAATAACATTTATGGTGGCAATCTTTAATTGCGTTGCTATGGTAATTAGAGATTATATGCCAAGCTACGTTTTACAACCCGCTTTTGTGTCTGGCAGATCTCCATCCCTAGACGCGTTTCAATTTAGAAAATCTATTTTTCTGTACCCTTTCTCCTGAAAAAAATCCTGAAATTGAATTTCTTAGTCAGCGCATCCCCATTCGTTCATTTTTTCCGATCACCAGGTGTGTAAATACCTTAGTAGGGATCCAGCTGATCCAGCTGGGTGCCAAGTGAAAAATTCATGAGTTCGGAGCCAATCTTAAACGATCCCAGCATATCTAAGCATATCAAGTATCAAAATTTGGAACGTCAAAATTACCTAGTTGATTTTTCAGCAAAGTCCAAAAAGTATAACTGAAAATGAACAAAGATGTGACTTTCTATTGCATTTTTCCAGTGTCTAAACACGATACAATATTTTTTCTATTTCATACGATGTGAAATCTCAAAATACTCGATTCATCTACAATTGCGCTTTTTAAAGGTTCCCAACATTCTTTCAAATTCAGACTCGGAAATGATTGAATGTCCTTACTCAGCACTTTTGAACCAGATTCACAAAATATCACCATTCAATCTTTACATGTCTTGGGGTCCCCTACAAGGATCTGAAGTCAATTTGCATTTAGGTGTTTCATTTCAGATAGAACAAAAAACAAAATTGCAACAATGCAACGATGTCATCGACTTAGATCCCCTATTTTGGATTACCTCACACCTGTTCGCACCCATTGTCTTCATAATTAACTTAATCCCAGTCAATCCCAACTCTTTCAGTGTGGACATCAGGAGCGGAAAGTCACTCTTATCAATATTCCTATACCGTCCCACAACTAGCACAGTACTGCTAGAATTTCTAACAGGGTGTGAACTAAAAAGAAAGAAAAAGAAAAGAACAAATGTGTTACACAGTGTGTTAGTTTTCATCATCTTTAACGTGGCTTATAACCATATTTTTTTTTCGTGAAGCCACTCAGTAAAATACGATTTCTCTGCACCCTGATGTCCAATCAAGATCATTCGAGTATCTATGTGTTCCTTAATGTATTATTTTTCTATAAGATTATGGTTACCATTCTTATTATTTGGGAGAATTTAAACAGTTTTCACCCATTTTTGCACTTTGAATCCGTAATAACTTCACCAATTTATGACATATCGTGAATATTGTATTTGAGATTGTAATGAATAGATCGGTAGGTCACTTGTACATGTTGCATGTACTTTTGTCACCCTTATATATCTGATTCTGCCTTTAACTGACCAATCAATGCTATTTAATTCAAGGGAAACTAGCTGCTAAAGCTTAATAGTATATCTCACATTTTCACAAGTGTTTTCAGAGCTTTGTTGATAGGTGACGAATGTTTTTGAAGGCTGGGATAGTAAAGAAAACTAATGTGCGTGCGTCCACCGTTAATGTTGCTATACACAAGAGAACTATGAGACAGCCTCCATTCCGTAAGACTGCCATTGATATATTCCATCATATAGTACATTATTCTACGTAGAGTCGAGTCCCCGAGGAAGAGAATCTAAAAACGTTTTATATCCACATTTAGTTCACGTGGTTAAATATTTTTAGGGCAGGGATATTGAAAGTCAAAATGAAACTACATGAAGCTTAAGTGACATTACTTCTGAGGGTATTGGAGGTAACTGGAATCATTGGATAGAGCAACAAATTGTATTTCGTGTTCACCTGTTGGATTTATTTTGATCACAATTGGGCAAAACTATAACATTTTTATAATACATGGACATAATGATACAGTACATAAACCTTTACAAAAACTTACATTTTTTCCATCGTAGCTGCGTTGTGCCAACTTAAGTGATGGCCTATGGTGACTGCATTTGTTAGGCTGCCATACTGCCTGTTTCCAATAGCAACTGTTAGCATCAGAACAGTCCGCACATGGTACCAACCAGGCTCCTAAAGTTCAATATCGCAGAACTTACTATTTTGGAAGGTAGATATAAATGTTGTGCTTTGGAATCAGGTTAATTAGTTCACTTAGCAAAAATTGAATTACAATCCGACCCCGAGGACGCTGAACGGGACGTCGAAGGCGTCTGTCAGAGGTTTATCATCCACCGTGCTTATAGCACGGTATAGCCCCGTGCTTAAGGACACCCTTACGCCGCCTCAGGGGCTGTTCAAAACGCTAAACGCTAAAAATTTTCATTAATGGAAACAATCTTAAGGTGTGCAACCTTTTATGATAACATGCTTCATCTGTATCAGTTTGATTCATGAATAAAGGGGACATTAAAATTAGCTTTAGATGACCATGGTTTTTCATGTCCCCTAGGGGGGGGGGGGCACTTAAAACTCGACGGACATCTACAAGGTTAACTGTTCTTCAGACACTGACCACCGGGGACTCTACAATCAGTTACACGGTCGCAGAAGCCGTTTTAAAATCAAATTTGTAGATGCCGGCTTCATATAGGTTCTGAAAAACGGCTTCGGATGTACCATAGAATCCGGCTTAAAATCTGGCTTTTATATCTGGCTTTGAAAGCTGGCTTTGTATTATTTGCCATCACACTTTCTCTATTTACCTGGCACGTTTCCAGACTCACATTCTGGTAGCTTGGCGTTTCGTGTCTTTATCGTGTTCCAAGAGTCATTACCAGTTGCCTGCAGTCCGCATGGCTCTTTTGGAAAAATCATTCTGTCACACTCTTGCCTCATTAGACATACGTTATGATTGACTTTTTCGGGAAACGCCCCGCGTTCACCCCGACTTCGTCGAGTAAGAATCAAAGTGTATTGAGCTGTTTTAACTTTGATTGGTTGAGTCACACTTCTGTCAGCTACATATATCGGGATCTTCGTTTGCTTTGAGAGGCCTACCACATATGTGTTTCTGTATATAAGAATAAAAACAAATCTATTCACTATGTTACACTTTTTGCAGCAATGTAAAAATCACCATTAAAGGGTTGATCCAAGTAAAAAGTAGGTCAGAATCACATAATCATGAAAATAAAAAGTCTGAGGGTAGGGGAGAATTCAAAAAATGATATTTAAAATCTGTAAAGGTGTATTATCATAATTCCATAACCACAGTATGAATAAACGTTCAGGCATGTGCGGAAAAATCTAGTATTCATCAAAACCGTGAAGAGAATGCGATTCGCGAATACTTGGATATAACTGTTTTCATCTTTAGAAATTCATTACATAGTCAATAAAGGACTTAATTTTCATGAAATAAAGCATATTAGAAAGATGATTCAATGTGCTAAATGATTATGTAATCAAACAGAGTTATTATCATCACTTTTGCATTTTCTAGAGTATAAGAAACTAGGTAACTATCGATATTTTAAGAATTTCAAGTTCATCTTGAAAGTGGCCACAACTTCATTTTAACAATTCTTGAAAATTGTTTCTCAAATTATGGTACTCATTATTTGTTATGAAGTTTTGATTAAGAAGGCTCGAGATAATTATAGTTATTCGGCTTTGGGCTCTGACATTTTCATATACTTGTTGGCCATACCTTGCACTCTTTGTGTTGCTGATCCAACCTTCGGCGTGACAATATTCTGCAGTCGACCAGATAGAAACTTTCCATGTAGGGTAGTCAAGCTGGATCTTATAAACGAACTTTTTTCTTTTAAAGTCGATATGTAATCGTGGATCACTGTGTAGGCCGCTGAGATAGAGGAAAGAATGAGTTCTATTTTGTTTGCAAGTTTTTATTTTTGTTTCTTTCACTGTATTGGGAAGTCGTGCACCTGGGGAAAATGAATTTTCCCCTGGTCGATAGCTCTTCCTTCTAGGGGTTTTGATTTTCTTTGTATGTTTCCTGTATTTATCATTTTCCACTAAAAAGATGAAAAATATAAACAATTTACATTTGATTTACTGTTTATATTTTGAACCCTTCCATTCAGCTACAGTGTAGGGCCTACAGTTAAAATGCCAAACTGTCAAGGCCCACGACCTTCAAACAATCAAAAGGTCGCTATAGCAAATGATGTGTCCGGGTATATGCCCTTTTGGTCCCTCAGTCAAATGTATGTGAAATATGGTTTTTATTACTGTCCTTGTTATATTTGATAAGTAGATTTACTTTTTCACGAGTTTTGATGCATAATTAACCCCCTGCTGAGAGTCAGAATAAGTATCTTAACAAACAAAAAATAGTCATTATCATAGAAAAAAACACCAATGGCAACATGTATGACTTACGAAGAAGAAATAATTTAAGACCAATGAAGAATTTAAAAGAAAATCATATTTTTGAAATATATTCAGGGATTAAAATTTTTTTCAAATTTTTGAATTTCCCGCCAGTTTAATTTGAAGGGGGAAAAACAAGACGGCTGCCATTTGATGTAAGAAATGTCAGAGAAAAATTTGCTTCACTTTTAGTTTTCACAATGAGCACAGTTTTCCGGTTTAGATTTTTTGACTGATTCTGACTCTTCATCACTAGGGTCATGTATAGAGATTATAAAATTGAAACCAAAATGTTGTGCTCAGCATGAATTTTACTGAAGTATGTGTAAATTCACCAACACAATTAGAGTCTCAAAACTGGAAGCTCAGTAACTTTGAGTGACTATAATCCTTTGATTACCCAGATAAAAATCAATTCACTTATCCAGAAATACCATTCAATGTCTATAAAAAGAAAGTAAGCAATGTTTTGGAGGATATGTTTCAAACCTTTTGTATAAATAATTCATTTAATATTTCCCATTAGTTTTTTTCAATTCTGACAAAGTGATATGCACTGTCTTTGATGCCAAAATTCTTCATTAATTGAGATAGAATTTGACGTTTTTGTACTCTCAGAAGATGGATAAGATATTGAAGTTTAATAATATGTGTGACTGAGTTGGTTTTTCAGACATTACAATTTTCAATATTTTCTAAGTCGATACCCAGACTCATTCCCTGACTCATCCTTTAGCAGATACAACACTTTTACTCAACTTTGATGAAATAATGTATAATATGGGAGGGATTTTCATTATTTTAAGCAATCAAGTACATTACCCATCAAATGACCACGGAAGGTATCCAACAAATTTCAGATATACCTTCCGTGGTCCTTTGTGCAAATTAGCTGTCTTAAGTACGTATGTCCTGCAGAATCATAATAATTCCAGTTAAGAAGACTGCGTTTTTGAACTGCCCGTGGTACAAGTCTATTGCATAATATTAAATAAGTATTTCCCCAAGCTAGGTATCATGAAAAAGAACAATGAACCCATTAAAATATTCACTAGCACCCTGGGGATACAAAAATACAGCATTAGTTGGAAAGTCTGACAAAGTTATAACTTCATCGGGAGACACAGGTTGTGTTAAATGGGAAACTAGCTTCAACATTTCAATACATGTCTCACTGCAAAGTTTACACCAGAGAGAAAAAACAGAATGTTGATTTTGGAAACTGAATTGTCTGTGGATAATATATTAATATTAGATTGGGAATCTAATCAATATTTCAAGATGATTGAGCTGGATTTGTGAAAATATGATGACTTTTTGAAATTAATATTTTTTGACAAAAATTGCCATGCGTTCTAGAATGTTTATTAATTTCTACGTATGATCAGGTAAAACATTGAGACATAGTGATACTATAGAGGTACACGTATCTCTGCATAAATGTTAATGCTTCTGTGAGAAAGAAAGGCTCATATTCTGTCAAAACGTCGAAATTAAATGAGTACTTACAAATCTCTCGACTACAAAACCTGCCAACACATCGTACAGTTCCTTTGCTATGATGTGTAAGAGAATCTGTTGTGTTTATCGACGCAAAAGATCATGGCATATTCCTTTAAAAGACTAGTTATCAGCATACTGCACCTTACGCCTGCTTTGGACAATTTTGATATTTTTACATATTGTCGATTTAAATCTCCTCTTTTGAATATTCATAATTTACTTCGGGTGTTATATATTTTTCATAAAAAATATTTGCCAAATAGACTGTTCTCCAAACCGACACTTGTCCTTTGGGAAGTTATAACAAAAACTAGAGGGTACCATTATTTGGTCATACTGCATTTAGAATCGTAAAACAACTTACCCAAAGCCAAACTTTGGAATTTATTATTTGCAGAATCTTCCTTGGTCTTTGTGGCATCTGAAATTCTAAATTTGGGATATTTTTCCGCATAGGAAAATGACATGGGAATATTATTGTCATTGAGTATAGCAATCAGCACTGTCGTTATAATGACGATGCAAACGACCATGCAAAAACAACATGACGGTGATAAAAATCCGAGTTTTTCTTGTGTTTGCATTCTCTTTTTCATTTTTTGAACCGCCTTGATTTATCTTGAGTTCATTTCCAAGTAAGTCTGAGCAGTGTACATGTTAAACTCTTTTTTTTCATTTTTTGAACCTCCTTGATTTATCTTGACTTCATTTCCAAGTAAGCCTGAGCAGTGTACATGTTAAACTCTTTTTCTCATTTTTGAGCCTCCTTGATTTATCTTGACTTCATTTCCAAGTAAGCCTCAGAAGTGTACATGTTAAACTCTTTTTTTCATTTTTTGAACCTCCTTGATTTATCTTGACTTCATTTCCAAGTAAGCCTGATCAGTGTACATGCTAAACTGTACGAGGTTTTTGAAATTTAAAAATAATGTGTATGATGTTTGCTATAGATCCCTCAGTCTTTTAAAAATGTAATAGTTTAACCTGTTTACAGCCGGGCGATGGTCGTTAATTCAGCAATTCTTTCAATGTCTATATGAAATGTAATGTTAGATACTAGGCATTCGCGCATCGGGTCACTGGCGATGAGCCTTATACAAAATATACATAAATGCATTACGATATTTGTTATGTGCCTTACTGTATTTAATCATATATCAAAAGTGACATTTTCGATGTTTAAAAGATTCTTTCTCAAAGTTCAAATAAATGAAACTCTAAAATAAATAAAATGAATGAATCTCCCAAAAATGCAACTGTGTTGGAAAACGAAAAGTCAGTCAAAAAGATTGTTCTCTTCATCCTTTGAAATCATGTGAAAAGAAGAAAGTAATTTAATCAGATAGATTATGGACTCTTTTTCATGGTATGTAGTCATCATCCGATCAAACAATGTTCGAAAATTCGAAAAAATGTAGTAAATTACCCCCTGTAATTGGTGTGAACAACCTCTTGAAGCTATAATGAAATATGTGGACAAAGCCCAGAAAAAGTGAATTGTATTGATACCTCGCAAATTAAAACAATATTTTTGTAAATTCCCTACCCGCTTAGCAAGTGAATTCGCTTTAAACACAATCAAATTAGACTTAATTGACGTGAATAAGAACGCATCTACCCTTTAATTGTTGAGATATCTGTAAGTTAAAGTTGCAAAAAAGTTTTTTGAAAATTCGGAATGCTTTCGCTGCTAGTAGGCTTATCTCACATGATTATGATTTAAAATCGGTAAAATGTATAAATGTTATCAACAAACATCACTCACATCTGAAAGTTTAGAATAGTATGGGAAACTATGGGAAACGCATTTCTTCAAAACCTTATCCCAACAGTATTGGGATCTAAAATTGGATATAGAAAAAGTCCACAACCAAACTGATTAATTCACGTAGATTACTTCAAATCAGTGGACGAATTGGCTTTGTATATCACTAAAGTATAACTGAATGACATCCCTATAAATATGGCACGAATGGGAGGGAAGAACAAAAAATATATCTTAAATTTGGAAAGAGGTTTCTTGATTATTCTGTTACCACAATTTGCCTTAACATTTACAAATAGGTAAAAAATCAAAGGTTTAAATGGGTGATTCGCGAATTCTTTTAAATTCATAATATTGCGAATAGTGATGATGGGAAAGAAATTTTATTATTAAAATGATTATTATCAAACATAGCAATTATCATCACATTTTCCATAGTATTAGAAATAAGGTAACTATCAATATTTAACGAAATTCCTTTTTATTGGCATCGACTTCGGACTTCCATAACTTTGCCTCTTTACCCTAAATCACTTTGATTTTTACGCCAAGAAGTGCCATATATCTGTTGTTCGAGCTCAACAAAATAACGGAGGCATAGTTAGTATTATTACAAACAAAGGGGAGGTCAATTTCCCCCCCCCCTCCCCTCCCCAGTAGACATTAGGTTAAAACACACCGCTTTAGATAACGTTTTTATGCTGCTCGACAAAGACGCGCCATTCATTATGACGACAAAACTACTTAGACTGTCCCTGTTCAAGATGACAACAGGTAGAATGTTTCATTCAGTCATTATCCCTGGAAAATAATTTAATCTTTATGCATCCGTTGGCTGCAAAGTATTTATTTGACTCGAATCAAAAGTCAATCAGATGTCCAAAAAAGCGATTGTTTGTGTCCTCGTCTGTGTAATTTAGATTATAATCAAGAGCTGCGTCTACAAATTCTTTCTCAGAAATCTTTCCATCATGGTCTGTATCCATGTAGTCAAACTGTAGCCTGGCTAGACTTGGATCTAGGCCCATAGCCTTCCAAAAGTGAAGGTACTCATCAAAACTGATGAAACCATCAGAATTGAAATCAAGAGCCTGCAATATATTGATAATGAAATATTGGTCAGTTTATTTTTACATAGTAATCATCTAATTTTAAAATTAATCAGAAAATAATCCAAATAGTAGTGCATGACTGTTTTGTTCATTTATAAAAATTGAATGTACTAGGATACCTGAAACATTTTGGCATAAAATTCTTCCACTGCCTTTTTAAAGTTTGGACTTTTAACTGTTGACCAAAGATCCAAAAGTTGCTCGTTCAATGGTTTTATCCAGAAACCAGGTGATTCCTTATCAAAGCTAGAATGGAATTCTCTGAAGAATTGTATAACTTTACTTGCTTCATGGTCTCTCAAATTAGCTGCAACGAACATGGATTAAAATGATGTATGAACATGGTATGAAAGTAGCTTTATTTGCATGAGAATAAAGAACTACTTGTCACTGGAACATATTAATGCAGTTTACAACTATATCTTAAATAAGGTAACTATTTATCATAAATACTAACGTAGGAATCGTGCTGTAAACCAGAGCTGATTGTATTGTCTGAAATGATTCTGCCATTATAATATCAAATAGATGTGTGTTATCTATACTACTTACCTGATTTAATAATGCGATCTGCTATTCCCATGCAGTCCTCATAGGAGAGTATTCCATCTTTGTCAATATCCCAAGCAAAAAAAATGGTCATTTTCTTAACGACCCAGATGCGTGGAATGTCTTTCATCTAAACATGATAAAATGTGCAAAGTTTTGAAAAAACATAAACGTCCCTTGGACAATTGTCCCCTTGGTGACCTATTCTTGCCCGATGGATCCGATGAACACTGTTTCGGGATTGTACTTTTCAAAAACATTTTCTCGTATTTGGGGCATGTCTGAAATAACTGCCAAATCATTGTCATTTTAAAAATGAGGTAGTCACTGAAAATGTACAACATTTCTCAAAAAACATAAAATTTAAACCATATCTGTCTGAATGCTGTTTTTTTGATAAGAAAACTAAACTCTGGCCTTAAATGAACAATACAATAAAACACAAAAATATCCCATGAAATTATAATTACAATAAGGATTTTCACAATTATAAGTACTTCGTCAACCTCGTATTTATGTACATGCCATTTTCAGGTTATTGATCTTAATTCAAATTGTTGAACGAAGATTACTTACTTGGAGTTTTAACGCATCCATACTCACTGACTACAGTCTACTAAATGGTTTGTACAGTGTTTTTTAGACAGTTTCTTTTATTCATTTCATTTCATGCATTGAATGTGTTTTAACCCAAATGTGTACAAGTCTAGGATCTTACTTACATGATTTATATAGTGGTTAAGCGCCCCTCCCTATACTCAAGATCTAGTCAAATCGACATACCTGATAAAATCAAGAAAAATACAAATTAATGATGAAAAATATATTTTCCTTAATTTTGTGCTGTCTTTCTATAATCATAAAAATGATAATTGCAAAACAAGTAAATGATCGCCACAAAAAAATGCAGTTAAATTCAAAAGTGACCCCTAGATGTTGCTCTCAAATCATGTGAGATGAAAATGAATTAGATTAGTTTTTAAAAGAACAAGAAATGTGTAGATTGAGATAAATAAGGTATGTTTTATAGTTAACGGCTGGTAACGAGACTGTTCATTTGATATGTTAATTAAGCGATGGATGATCCTTACGTGGCTATACGGTGGATCGCTTTGAAAAGGTTTAGAGGGCGTAGCTACAATGTACAGTATCAAGTGTTTTCATCGTACGGTATGGGAATAGTATTAAACAAATTATATGAAATTGATATAGATGACTGATCCTTACATTGAGTTCAACTGGAATTACCTTTCAATGGTATTTTCTTAATAAAAAATAAAGTGAACAAATAATAACACTGGATACATGCTTCATCTTTTGATCCGTTTCGATCCCTTCACAAGTTTAAGGCTCTATAATCATATGTGTATAGGCGACGAGAGAGCAGATTGTATATGTATACTTCATATTTTGTCAAATGCGTCATAGAGCGAAGTGTCATCGGCAAAGCTGAAAGTTTCAAATTCAGCATGACTTTTGACCATCTTGGTAGACAATTGTTCATACTTGTACTTTCCTGTTTGAAAAATAAGATGTCATCAGGGAAACAAAATCATTATCACAACTAGGACAAAAGAAGACGTTAGGTTGAAAAATATAGAATTTTTACCTTGATCTTTAATATGAAGATCATGATCGATGTTATTAAGTTGATTTACTATATGATGTTTAAAGCCATTATAGAATTTTTAAATATAGGCTATTGTCTCGCAAGCACGCGGTACTAACTCGACGGGGCGTATAAAAACCAAAACGCCCCGCAAAACCGTTAATTTGAATTTCAAATCTACCATATCTTTGTGAAATCAATGCTTGTGAGTCTAACACTACACCGTTTTCCTCAAACTTGTTCCATTAAAACCTTCACAGAAATTCCTTTCAGTCAGACATTGCTTTTGTTTACAAAGTCCCTCTTTTAGCGGCGTTTTGGTCCCCAGATGTGAGAAGTTGCAAATCCTCAGAGATTTCAACCATAATTCTTGATATCTCGCCTCGAAATTGACCAAAACTTCCAAATTGCCCCGCAGTCCAGTCAGTATAAGGTGTATAGATCCAACGGGGCGTTTTGGAAGAGAACGGGGCGTTTTGATCAATTTAGAACAGATGC